ATCGTTTTGTGTTTCCTATTTTTATTTGACCATTTCAGACAAAAATGAACACAAAATCACATGCATTTTATTGAGTGCATGGACAGTTCTCATGTGAGGGATCAATCCAACTATTCACAGGACTATTTATTTTACTAAAAAAAACAAACACTGTGATTTATCTACTCCACATAATGAAGATATACTTATATACCACAAGATATACCACATAAGAACTAAAATAAAATGGAAACTATTTACAGGAGCGAGGTCATAGTGAGTTCTATGATTCCACATAACGGAAATCCGAATAATATCTCAAATTACACAAGGCTGGTCAAGAAATGAATGCTTGGTAATGTTTATTCATCAATAATAAATATCCAAACTCATCGATACTCCAGTCTTTTATAATTAGGCACCGGGGCTGATTAAATACCGGGGTGTGGTACCTATCCCTAGTCATAGTATATTCTCAAATTATAGACGGATCATCAAAGCTACTATAACGAGAGGTTAATTACCTCTTTACTAGGAACCGTTTCACTTTAACGCACTCGTGGGACGATAATAAACAGCGCGCTTTGCTCAACGTTTCTGAGTGTATTCTTCCAGATCATTTGAGATCCTCTGTCTGGAGCTCCCGCATGTTCATCAGTCACCTCAGCTTTGTGTTTACACAATGTGTTTACAGATCACAAAGTCAGGAGTTTGGATGCTGTTGAGAAAGGATGTCGGCAGCTTGTGAGCTAGAACGTCTTCATCCAAATTGTTTCTATGACATGTTTATCATCAGGAAACTGTATACTGGTATATCACCCCTCCCTGACTTTCTAAACTCATACTAAATTGACACAATTCCAACTCATTATGTCAAAGCTCATAGCCATTCGTCTGTTATGTTTAGCACACAGGACAGCTATGGATGGGGTGTGGCGAATGGAAATAAACACAAGGTGTCGTTAGCATATGCTAATATTATTAGCGGAGCACTCCAATCCAAACATCCGGCCAATCTACTTCTGAACAGAATCCGTTTGTTCAACAAATCCAAAACCTTTCTTGCAATTTTAGTGACTTTTCCCTTGAAATGGTAAGATGGGGGAATTGGTACCTAATCGGAGACACTGGCGCATCAGACCTCCAGACGACATGTTCTTTTCAGCCTCAATCTCGCTGAAGTTCAGAGAGCTCGCGAACACCAGCACATCCACCATAGCCATCAGTCTGCTGAGGAAGGTGACCGCCGTCTCCGAAGACATGCCCTGAGTCGCCTCCACGTTCTCCAGCTCCGTCTGCCATGCAAGAGCCAGAGCATTAGAAGTCACTCAAGCCTAGACACAAACACATGCTTCCACAAGTACAGGGTCATACAGTGGACGATGTTCTGACAGACAGGTGAACTGTTATAAGGAACATGCCTCCGAAAGGGACAATTCACCCAAAGCTCAAGATTCTGTCTCTAGTTTATTTCGGGTTAACTTTCCGTTTTTAGGTAATTTCAGGAATTCTTGTTTTTATCAAGTTACGTCCCAGCGCTTGCCACATGGTTCGTCGTCACATGGTTCTGCGAATATGTCTGAGAAATATCCAATCACTGGGCGATTTCGTGAAAAGAGCATAAACATGTATAGCTTCCATTTTTTACACGAGACTCGTGGGGCTGAAAGAGTACCTTTCGAATGGTTGATATTAGATACCACTCATATTTTGTTTTGGAGTCGTAATGCCCGGTGGATAAGATTGGAATCTATCTCTACCTAAAGTCTCAGACAGTGGACCTCCAGTGTATTCTATGTGTTTCTAACAAACATGACTTTTTGGAAAATGGCGCGATACGAATTGCTTTCATTCGTATCGAGTTTGGTAACTCTATTAACGTCCGGTACAAACAATTCAGCTTGATATGTCAACTGACCACGATTGATGGTAGTAAACAGACTGAAATTATAAGTCTGCTCGATTGTGCTCCCACTGCTAACAATGATCACCAGAGACATCTGAGCAATCCTCCACTACTTCGCTGCTCATGGAAGCAAAAACAATCTCGGTGAATGAATTGCAAGTAGTATAGAACCTAAATGTTTTGTAAATGTATTGCTTTCATTCGCACATGGCTGTGGGCAAAGGCAACAAATCGCTAAACGTGTGGTAAATATAACTGAGCTTTAGAAGTCTGCCGACGAAGATGAATAGTAGTAATCAGACTGAAAGTAAACATGACATTGGCCTTTTTTCAGTATTAAATAACTGTTTGTTTGTGCTCCCACTGTTAACAATGATCACAATAATTAAAGTTTAGAAGCATCTGAGAATTCAGTCACTTATACGCTGGTCTGGGAAGCACAAACACTCTCAGTCAGTGAATTACTTGTGAGCGAATATGAAACTTGTGCTTTATACCTGCTTCTTTTTATGCAAACCTGCCCACAGGCATCTCATTGAAGAATGTGAGAGTTTCACATACCTTTCACTACCTTCTTGAAAGTGCATCACAACCAGATTGTGTTTGATTATTGGCATAGCTGAGAAAATAAAACTAGAATCTAAAGCTACAATAATCTGTTAAATACTCATCTATGCTCTACGGTCAAGTGGCCACACGTGAACATCACACTTTAGGAACCCGACGATCACTTGCAGTTTCAGACAGTTCTGTATTAGCTTCCCAAGGGTCAGCGAGAAGATTCTGCAACCCCTGTCTAATGTGAGCAAGAGCCATGTGATCAGAACAAGTATCAACAAGGGGGTAAGTGGACGAATAAAGACCATATTTGTTTTTCAGACATCGTCATGCCTTTATTTACAGTCTAGATTTAAAGTCTAGAGGTACTGGGCCAATTATTTTCATACCAGTGACATAAAGGACAACCTCTCTAAGGGAGATCTCCAATAAAACATTAAAATATGAGAGTAACATACACAATATTGATTTTTGGGTGAAATCATTCCATGTGTAATGGTCTGCAGCCGAGGCAGAAGGCTTCGGTTGAGATCCCCTTCACACGCTCAACTTCCTGTTTCTGTTATTAGTGTTTTCCAGGTGGTTTTGTCATGTAGTTAGCCCGTCTTGTCACAAGATTCAGACCAAAGGGTTCAGGGACTTCCGGGAACAAGGTTATTCGGAGCGATGAGGCTACATGAATGAAACACTATCCCCTTTGTCAAACATGGAGGTGGGTCACTGATGTTTTTGTAGCTCCAAAGGTACACTTGGTCAAAATTTACGTTACACCTTATCTAAAGATACTGGAGGAAAATGTCCGTCATTAGCCCAAAAGCTGCACATGGAATGTTACTGGACATTCCAACATGACAAGGATCAAAAACACAAGGCCAAGTCCACTCGTCATTGCTTACAACAGAACAAAGTGAATGTTCCGGAATGGATCTCAGTCCCCTGACCTTAATACATCACTGAAATACTCTGGGGAGAACTCAAATGCGCAGATCAAGCAAGAATTTACAAGAGTTTTACATGCAAGGGTTGGATTCAAGTAGAATGTGCTGCTTCACCAACAGAGAAAATAAATAACCTCATCTACAACTACCTCAAGAGACTTCAGACAGTCATTGATGTTAAAGGTGGAAAACAAAATATTTGTAAACTTTTGATCAGGGCCTTTTGGAGAGTGTCTATTTGGTAAACACAGCTGTTGAAAATAAAATACACACTTGGAAAACACTAATCACGCAAAGTGGCGATTGTGGAAAACGTTCTGAAGACTTCTACTTCAGCTGCAGACTATTAAACCTTGACAAACAAGGAGTGGTAAGGAAATCCCTCACACCATTTTATAAACGTGTGTTGAAACCAGTGTGAAAGCCATTTAAGTGTGAACAGGCAGTGCGCTCAAGCTTTCAGTGAACACCAACAATCTACACCATTATCAAAAGGGAACTTTGAAATAGAGGCGCGGCACAACCCCCTTCTGAACAATGAAAGGGTGATATAAATACTAATCCCCTGAGAGCTGAAAACAACATAGTTGATGTTGAAACCTGAAACATGCTTGTTGCTAGGAGACACAATAGCGGTGGATAAGAGGACACTGAGAAGTGCACTGTGGCTGTGTATAAGAAGACCGACCCACCTCTACCCCTGTGCCAGAGCTTCCTGGCAGGCTATTAACTTCACTGCTTTTAGTCCCCTTCTGTAAGCAAGAAGCTCCTTGTTTCTTTACGAGCAACACACAGGGGAACAAATGAAGGTGACATTTAACAGACCCTCATTAGAGCTGGGGACCAGTGTATTAGAATGTACTGAATGCTACCTAGAGATGAACACAGAATTATTTGCCACCCTGTGAAATGGCATTTTTTACATTTCCCAAGTGATGTTTAACAGTAAATGGGAATTAATTTTGTTCGCAAACCTGGATTATCGCATAAAATATTTGAAGCGTTTCCACCCAACGAGTCCAACAGAACAAAATCTGCACTTCCAGATAAATTACGGCGAACATCAAAATGATATTAAAAGTTGTTGTGTTAAGCCTTTTTTTCATAAATAATGACTTACTTCTGTCTTAGAACACCACCAATATGCGCAGTCGCATCATCTAGCTTTTGGAGACTGCTCTTAACGCAATGCTCTACCAACTGAGCCCCAGAAAAAGTCATACTCGATTAAGGATGCCACTAGGGGGCCAGATTCTAATCGATTCTAGAGATTAATATCAATCTTGTGCACGTTCAACCGGATATTCGCTTGCATCGTTTTTTCCTGGTTTCAAGTGTCCCAATAAATCCCAATGCAATGGCAATTCGTTTCTCTGTTGGAACTGGGGTGTGATGGCATTATTGGACTAACCAACCGTGCAAGATCTGAAATGTTTTGGTCATTCTAAAATTCCTGAAGTCTGTCTTCAAAGTGGTCCGGATCTGTCTAGACCGGCATTGTTCCTAACGAATTTGCCATTGCATGCAAGCTAGCATATGCGCGAGATGTGGCTTAATTGATATGAATCTCTAGAATCGATAAGAATCCACGCCTGTTGTGGCATCCTTGATTGAGTATGGTTTTCCTGGGGCTCAGTTGGTGAAGCATTGCGTTAAGAACGCAAAGGTCATGGGTTCAAATTCCAGCGAAAGCAAAAACTGACAAAAATATGTCCATCCTTTCAAATGTAAGTCGCTTTGGATGAAAGGGTCTGCCAGATGCACAAAAGTAAACGAGAATCGTCAGACTTGGATTCGCTTTACAATATTTCAATCCTTGGGGTATTGTTCTCGTTTATAATGTTTTAATTCATGTTTATATTTCCTCATGTGTTTTCACAGATCATGAAGTTATACAGTGTAGTTTCGCCAATTAATCAAGCTATTTCAGAGGCGGGCTACATAATCAGCAATGAGCTCTCTCTCCCTCTCGCAGTTCACTAGCCTTGTCGCTCACCCAGAGTCCAATTTGGAAGCACAACATAAAGCTCAGGTTTTTTGGTTTCTAAAGTTAAAAATTATGCTCAGGCTGATCAATATTACCCAGCAGCAATACTGGAGTGCCACAGTTTTGAATTGTCAAACAGCGACCTCCATCTAACTACAGAATGAGATTCCCGTTCATGGTTAGAGTTGGAGGGGTTACATTACTACTCAAAATATTTTGGGACATTTTGGGAGGTTTACATTGGGGTCCATGGGTAAAATATTTTTTTAAATAGATACATTTTTTTAGTTTTGCTCTGTTTTGCGCACATGTGATCTTTTGCATATTTTTATAAGTAACATATTCCATGGACTCTTTTATAGAATGGGCTTATTTTATAAAATTTCTGATTGATATTGATTATTTTTCAAGTAATCAAATCGATTTTGAATCAGTCTAAATATAAGAATATAATTATTCGACTGAATCTAATGGCTTATCCTAACCTCTTTAATTAGTACATTTATCATTTTCAATCTTTATGAGCTTGAAAGACTCTCTCGCAAAAGTCCAAACCAATCTCTATTTTTTGCTAGATACAAAAGTGCAATTTAAAAGCTTAACTGGTTTAATTATGCTAATCATGCAAATTAGGTTAAATTAGCAAGTTTTTGGACAACAAAGCTTTCTAAAACCAATCAAAGCAAGGGTCTAATAATAACGGCAGTTTATTAAAGAATTACAAGAAATCTGACATTCTCTAGGTTAGAAAATGAGTGGAAACAAAGTGTTAAACTTCACTTGGTGAATTATTTCTTAAAAACGTGGTGGCTAATAATTTAGTCTTCAATCATATGGTTTTAGAAACAAACAGCAGACAATGATGGGGAACAAACACACAGCAAATGTGATGAGGAGGTACCTTGAACAGAGTCGTCTGCTAGAACTCTTTAAATAGAGTTATGAAGGTCATATTTAGTGACTTTAAAACATTAGCTATTATAACAGAAATTGTTGTGACAAAAGAAACTAAACGTAGGTTTCATGATCGTTCTCTTTTAGGCTTTCCATCCTTGCCTCCATGACGGTCGCGTTTGCTGAAAACTTAATAATCTAGGTCACGTAAACAATGCTTACTGTTTGCTTCAGAAATGGAGCATTAAATTAAAAAAATTAAATATAAATTCCCAGGAGTATGTTGTAGATGATAAGGATGTTTACCACGGCAAACTTTTATCACTTTAAAACTTAATACATGCATGAAATTGAAAAAAAGGTTTTCACACCTTTAGCGCTTTTAAATTTTACACATCAGTTGCCATTTTATTGTGTATTTTAAATGCAAAACAATACTTGTTATTGAACCGTTTTACACCAACAATGTAATTTCATGGTGCAAAAAGGATATGTCGATTTTAACGGACGCCGCAGGAGGCTAAAATATGCCTGACCAATCACAATGCAGCTTGTTGCTATGCTACAGCAGCTCGTTTTACTGCAGTTACTGCACTGTTCAGATAAATTACGATATATTTCTGAAGGGAATCAACTGTTTTTCACTGGATAGGGCCCTTGTTCTCCCAATGTCAAAGGGTTAGCAGCACATATTGGTCTAAAATATAGCAAAAAAAAGAAATATTAGAAAAATAAATTTTAAAATGTCCAAATCATTAACAGATGGACTAAAGGTGCTTCAGTTTTCACTAGGAACTACATCTCTCAGTCACTTGTAACAACAGAAAACAGTGCACACACCACAGAGTTCCTCCGTTTTTTTTTTTTTTTTTTTTTTGAGGGTATCCCCTACAAAATGTACAAGTATATTGACAAAGATAGAATTTCCCTATCCCACATGAATCCCTTTAGTGAAAATTAGTGAATTAAATCCATGAGTTTGTAAAAGGCAAGCAGTCGTCTGAGATGGGAAAGATGGAAAATGTGAACTAAATCATAAATTGAGTTACTGGGAGGTATCAGTGAGAAAAGTAAAATGAACGAGACGACAAGAGAGAATAAAAAAATTGGAAACTTACAGGGTTCGGACTAACCTTAGAACTCTACATGCAAAAGAACAAAGGAGAAGGGAAAGAATAGAGAGACAGAGAGGATTAGAAGGAAGAAAGGAAAAGGCAATAGAGATCAGCAAAAAAAGCACATCAATTGTTAATACGAGTCAGAAAAAGCAGGTTTCAGATAAAAGCTACAACATACAGAAGCTATGGGGAAAAGGGTTTGTTAGTTGCAAAATTAGTAATTGTTTTTATTCTTTAGGAAAGTATCCCCAGGGTAAAACCCATTGGAAAAATGTCAACATTTCTTAAAATGTACGCATCAACAGATACCGGATTCATTATTCAGCTCTTCCTTCTAGAATATGGCACATGTACACAACATTGGCTTCGAAAAAGTGTTTTTCACAAGTTGAACTGTTGTTGAGCTCCACTAGAGGGCGCTTGTGTGCCACTTACAGATGGTGAGGTGGCAGCAGAGAGCAGCGGCAGAATCCCGCCACACGCTATGATTATGTTATCCACCATCTGAGAAATTAGGTGGATGGTGTTGTGGACAAATATGATGTTCTCGTTACTGTTTACGAAGTCCATGACTGATTTTGTTGAGTGGCTAGGAGAGAGAAAGAAAGAAAGAAAGAAGAAAAGGAGAAACTGGTGAAAAGAGCAAGTGGAAAAAACAGCACATGTTCACAGTGTCAAGGAAGAGATAATACTGGATAACAGAATGCTGTCGGTTTGACATTCTTATAACCTGGTCAGTTGGGATGTCTATTCTGGGTGATTTGAAAATGATAGACAAGGAAATTAATGTTACCACCCGTGTTGCAGCTTCTCGTTCCAAAATGTAAAGGGGATTTATTCAGGTGTTCAAGTTCACTTCTGAAATGTAAACCTGAGCAGTTAGGAGGCAACACAATTATAAAGGGCTATACATACATGCACACATATTAACATAGAGAGAGGAGGGGGATAGACGAGACCAACAAACCATTATCTGCTCTTGTGTTGGAGACACAGTGGAGAACTTCCTACTGATTGCAATATTCACCTGTATGGCCAGTATGGTGGTGGGTTAGTAACGCTCTGGGGAGTCATTTCCTTGGATGACTGGAACAATCTCCAATCTCTATTCAGAGGTGCCCTGGGTACTAGAATGAGATCCTGAGGCCCAGTGTAAGATTGGAGTAACCTGCAGCTAACGGTCTCTGACACCAATCCAAATTTTTTATTCAAAGTTTCATGCAACAACGTGCTAAATCAAAAACCATGGGCGCCAACGGGAAAGAGTTTAGCGCTACCATATCGGATCAGTTTTGAGAAGCCATCCGAAGAGTGTAGAGGCCTTTACTGCGTCCAACTGAGCACCTCTGGGATATCTTGACTTCCAAGAGTTGCCTGATTTAATCCTGGGAGGAAATCCCTCAGGAGAATATCTGACATCTCATGAGGAGCATGCACGGAAATTGCAGGAAGAGCATACAGGTTTGAGTCCACAAAACTTAAAGAAACTTGAAATCACTTCATTTATATATAGTCACCCAATTCACGTTACATAATTTCATTCAACAGTTTAAAAAGGCCTAGAATCAATGGGCTACAACGGGTGGCCCTTTGGTGGAAAATTCTAAAACTTAAGAAGATTCTTTGGGGAAGATTCTAAAACACGAGTTAGCCTAAAATGATCTGATCATATTGACCAGGTAGCATTTGTTGCATATACTGCCTGAGAGGGGGCAAATTAAACCAGCCATGAGTAACTTAAATATTAAACCATTCATGTGATTACTTTAACAAAACATCAGGAAAATATTTCTGATTTGACTTCTTGATTCTAAAATTCAAGTTTCAACAGCATAATTGGCGTTGTCGGCAGGATCCCATTCGGTTTCACTGAATTTCATTTGAATTGAATTCTCTTGACCTGAAGAAAGTTTTCTGTTCATACCAGGAGTTTAAATACATAGTTTAAAACCTTCCCAAAACACAAAGAAAAAAAGTGCAGTCCATTGCTACTAGACCTTTTTACACAATTGAATGAAATGACAATAATTCTTTTCACCCATACATTCTCGGTCAGGGTGAGATGTGAAATTAATTCACATATACTTCAGTTGTGTTATTTCACATGAACTCAATGGGGTGGAATATGCAGCGTTACCTCCCCAACACCTCACTGGGGCTGGGATATGTTAAGGCCGAGTTCCATTTTGACGGTGAGCCCGAAATCCCAAGTTTAAACATAACTAATAAAATAAAACTGTGAACAAACATCAAGATATTTTAGGATATTAAAAGAAGCCTCAGGGCGGCAAAGTGGTGCAGTGGGTAGCACTGTGGCCTTCCAGTTACAAGGTTGTCCAGTTTCGAGGCTCGCCGGTGACCTTCCTGGAAGGAGTTTGCATGTTCTCCCTGTGCTTGCGTGGGTTTCTTCCGGGTACTCCGGTTTCCCAATCCCAAAAACATGCGATTAGGTAAATTGAATAATTACAATTTCCCCTTAGATGTGAATATGTGAGTGAATGTTGAACTGTGATGGACTAGCAACTTGTCCAGGGTGTACCTCCACCTCTCGCCCAATGTGTGCTGGAGATAGGCACTGGCAGACCCCCATTACCCCAAAAAGGAATAAGCGGGTTGGAAAATTAATGAATGAATGAAAAGAAGCCTCATACCTCCGCCACATGTGAACATCACTTTCCAGAGCAAACAACAAATC